CTCCGCCCCCCATGACCCTGGTGAGGATGAAGGTGTAGAGATGATGGATGGATGCTGGTTTGGGCTGAAGCTGCTCACTGACTGACTGTTTCCTTCAGAATCACACATTTATTAAAATACTACTATAAGCTGATTCATGTTCAGACTCCAAATCCACTTCCTGGTTTTTCACTTTAAATTGTTCATAAATTCACGTCTTCACACACGTTTCATGCCAGATGTTGAAAGCTGAGGTTGTTCTGATAAAAAGGCCAAAAGCCTCGTCCTCAGGTTTCTGTTTTAATAACAGACGAGTCCAGGAGGCCTGAACGGTACTGAAGGGTTAGAAATAAAAAATAAATAAAAGATGGTATCAGTCAGACGTAAATCGTTAAAACAGGACCAATCTGTAAATAACACCAAACATCTGTATTCTTAGGAATTCGATTCTAACGTGTGACAGTAAATAAACAGAGATGTGCTGTTTCTAAAAAGACTTTTTTGTTTTTTCTTTATTTATAAGTTTCACAGATTTTCCCTGTTTTATTAAATCACGGCTCATTTCTGGTAAAATCTCTGCAGACTCTCCAGGCGCTGCGTTCAGGGACCTCCACGTCAGACCGTAGTGAGACGGTGCCCCCTGCTGGTCGACAGAGCAGGAACCGGCTCGGTATGGATCCGACCCGTTTAGGCTCTGAAGGGATTTATGGCGTCAACAAAACCGCACATTAGGATCAAAATAAATGAATAAAGTTCAGCTGAAACACGACGAGGCTCAGAGCAGATTTAAAGTCATTCTCACTGTCGTTTTATTTTTAATTTTTATTTGTTCAACTACAGCTAATGTGTCAACGATCAGGAGGAACACACCGGAAACACCGCAAATACTGGGACAGGAAGAAGCAATTTGGAGGAATAAACCTTAAAAAGTAAAATCATTTTAGACAGAATGAAGTATTTTGGGCGCAATAAACTTTAAATACTGCAAATATTTGGACAGACAGAAGTAATTTGGGGAGAATACTTATGAAATACTGCAAGCATCTGGACAAAAAGTAGTATTTTGGATATAATAAACCCTAAATACTGCAAATATTTGGAGCGAAAGTAGTAATTTGGCAGAATAAAACTTTAAAACTACAAGTATTTTAACTAAAAGTAGTACTTTGAAGGAATAAACCTTGTAGATTAAAATTATTTTAGTGAGAAAGAAATATTTCAGGTTAAATAAAGCTTAAATATTGCAAATATTTGGACAAAAAGTAGTGTTGTGAGGAATAAATCTTAAAAAGTACAAGTAATTCAGACAGACAGAAGTAATTTGGGTAGAATACATATTAAATACGTCAAGTATCTGGACAAAAAGTAGTATTTTGAATCCAATAAACCTTAAATACTGCAAGTACTTGGAGCGAAAGTAGTACTTTGAAAGAATAAACTGTAAAAAGTAAAATGATTTCAGACAGAATGAAGTATTTTGGGTATCTGGACTAAAGGCAGGACTTCGGGTCAATAAACTGCCAGTGCTTGGACAGACAGTAGTACTCTGGCGGACCCTTGCAGTACTCGGGGCGCCCCTGAGCCCAGGACGTGGTTCTCCTCATGGACAGGTTCTTGTTCTGCAGCCCATGAGGCCGAGCTGCGCATGCGTGCAGGTGTGCCGGCTGTTTTCAGTTTTTCAGCTCAGAGCAGCAAAGCATGCAGGGAATCCCCCCTCCCTCCCCTCCCCTCCCCTCCCCTCCGCCCCCCTCCCCTCCGTGGGCGGGGCCTCCTGCGGGTCACGTGCTCCGGCCTTTGTTGATGTGATTCATCGGTGAACGAGCAGGACAAAACCGTCCCGGTCCCTCCGACCCAGCCACCGATCGCATCCGTCCACCTTCCCCGGCGCACACTCGCTCCGCTTCGGCCTGGATGCCGCTGGAAGCCCCGTCGGAGCTCCACCTGGATCGCTTTGTCCGCGGCGCTGCGCGGCTCTCCCCGCCGGTTTGAGAGCGAGGCAGCGGGCTGGGGGATGGAGGCAGAGTCCGGGCTGTGAGCTGCTGCTGCGGGGGGCGGTGTGGGGGTCGCTGTAGCCCCAGGCCTGCTTTGTTATCCGGGCTCGCTCTTCCAGCCGACGCCGGAGCTGCGGCGCGCGGAGGACTCCGGGCTTTCCCGCCGCGTCTGGTTCTGCTGCTGCGCCGAGGATCTGCTTTGGAGACAGACCCGAGAAAGACGGTATTTACGGTGTTCGGCTCATTGTGCGCCTCCTCCTCCTCCTCCTCCCCCACCTCACCTCCTCATCCCTCCGCCATGGCTCCGGTCCGCCGGCTCTGCTGCCTGCTGGCTCTGCTGCTCGTGCCCGCCGTCCGGAGCTCGTTCCCCCGCAGCGGAGCAGACTGCGGCCCGGGGAAGGCCGCCGACTGTCCAGGTGAGACAACCTGACCGCACCTGGGGGGGAGGGGGAGGGGTCAGGGGTCAGTGTCGGCCGCTGTCATCTCTGATTGGATGCTGATCACGTGACCGGTTGCCATTGACACGTCTTCGTGTCCACGTTGCCATGACGACCGCAGCAGCATCAAGCAGGGAGAGGTTTTTGGTGAGTGTGAATGTGGTCGCCATGGCAACGGGAGACAACAACACCTGAGTGATGCAACGAATCAAAGAACAGGTGTGTGTGTGTGTGTGTGTGTGTGTGTGTGTGTGTGTGTGTTTCAGGATCAGTTTCCTCTGAACACCTGGACCTGCTGCTCAGTTGGTGTCGGGTCGGGCTGAGTGATGCTCCACCGCCTCACATCTTCTTCACTCTTTGTTTCTTGTTTGGGACCAAAAACTTAATTTATGTCAAATATTTTGGCTGAATGTGGAAAATTTCAGGTTTTTATATCTGAGCGTTTTTCTTTTTTCACCCTCAATAAAAACCTGTGAAGCCGTTTCAAAGGTTCAGTGTCTCCGGAAATTAAACTCCTGCAGATGTGAAATGTGGCGACTCAGACAGAACCGCTTCCACCAGAATGGAACGGTGATTTTAAAGTATCGGACCTTGAAAAAACTGTTGAGGCCTGATATGATGTCAACTGTCAACATGAGGCAGCGACACATCTGGAACCAGCATCTGGAACCAGCATCAAGAACCAACATCT